GACTCCCCGAGGGGGAGGGTTATGTAAGTAATCCAGAATAACACACAAGAATAATATGATTAGTCATGTAGAAGAGCATTTATATTTTAAAGCACAGGTGCACAATTTAGATGGGTTAGGGGATTTCAGAACATAATGGACTTCTTTCCAGCAGATTATATATATTTCAGAAAAGTTCCACGTAGCTACAGCATTGAATAAATGATATCTGAATCTGGGTACAGAATCTGACCTCTCTAATGAGCCAAGAAACCTGGGAGACAACAACAGAAGTGCTGGGAAAGCCAATGCTGGGAGAAGACGTTCTGAATACTTACAATCCCAGAATAAGGGAATTAGAACAATGCTTCCCAGGAAGCACATACCTGAGAAAATGATGACACAAATGGGTCTGGGAAAATTCTTGATCTAAATGACAAATGAATTAGTGAAACAGAATCTAAATTTCAAAGTCTGGCTTGTTGACAAAGTACTGAGAGTGCTGGTGGGAGCTCACAAGAAACACAAATTAATAACTTTTAAAATGACTCTTCTGATTCAAATGCTGCTTGATTGTGCTCGAAGAAACACACACACTATATACGCATCCATAAAAGTCTGAAAGAAACTAGCATGTAAGTTAGACCAGGCATTACCTTGCTGGAATTATTTGCAATAAAATGCAGGAAGCTGCATATTAAATTTGTTTCTTAATGCCAACGAGGTAGCTGGAGGACCAGAGAAGCTGAGGGAACATGGCCTTTACCACTGGTGTCTCAGACCTTCTCCCTCACTCACATGCTTGGCATTCTCCTCACAGTTTTTTAAAAAATATGCTTGCCTAGATGGTAACTTCCAAGGATGGTAAAACAGTGCTGGAAATAGAGTGAGGACTGTTCTTTTTAGGAAGATCAGAAGATTCAAAGCTCTGAGCATTCCAGTGTCCTATGGGAGCAAGGGGTAACTCACAAAGGTTAACTAGAATCAGAACGATAGGATCACAGAATCATTTAGGTTGAAAAAGACCTTTAAGATCATCGAGTCCAACCATAAACCGAACACTGCCAAGTCCACCACTAAACTGTGTCCCTAAGCGCCATGTCTACATATCTTCTAAATACCTCCAGGATGGTGACTCCACCACTTCCCTGGGCAGCTTGTTCCAATACTTGACAACCCTTTCAGTAAAGAAATTTTTGCTAATATCCAATCTGAACCTCCCCTGGTGCAACTTGAGGCCATTTCCTCTCATCCTATCGCTTGTTACTTTGGAGAAGACACCAACACCCACCTCAGTACAACCTCCTTTCAGGTAGTTGTAGAGAGCGGTAAGGTCTCCTCTCAGCCTCCTTTACTCCAGACTAAACAACCCCAGTTCCCTCAGCTGCTCCTCACAGGACTTGTTCTCTGGACCCTTCACCAGCTTCGGTGCTCTTCTTTGGACGCGCTCCAGCACCTCAGTGTCTTTCTTGTAGTGAGAGTGCCAAAACTGAACACAGTAGTCGAGGTGCAGCCTCACCAGTGCCAAGTACAAAGGGACAATCACTTCCCTAGTCCTGCTGGTCACACTGTTTCTGATAGAAGCCAGGATGCTGTTGGCCTTCTTGCCCACCTGGGCACACTGACAATCATATTCAGCTAGCTGCCTGTCGACCAACACCGCCGGGTTCTTTTCCGCCGGGCAGCTTTCCAGCCACTCTTCCCCAAGCTGGTGGTGTTGCATGGGGTTGTTGTGACCCAAGCGCAGGACCTGGCACTTGGCCTTGTTGAACTTCATACAATGGGCCTTGGCCCATCGATCCAGCCTGTCCAGACCCCTCTGAAGAGGCCTTCTTCCCTCAAGCAGATCAACGCTTTTAGTAAAGCTAATCTTTTCAGCGTCAGTAGGGAGAGACAAACTCCCCTAGGAAGCAATCCAGATAATTAACCATAATTTAACCACCCTGAATCCATCCTCTGGATGGTCCTCTCTTTCGCCATCTTTTATAGTTTATAAAGGGAATTTTGGGAGGCTAGCTTCATTCAGCTGCAGGGAGACTTTCAGAATATGCTTTCTTCTTTTTGTCTTTCAAAAAATGAACTGTTTGCTTTAATAACTTAAGAGATTTATGCCCCAAAGTAGAAGAAAAGTATCTTGTTCAACATCACACATGGAAGTCCAGAGGCATGTGATAAGTAAAACTCACAGCAGTATATTGAGATGCATAATGATAAAGGATGACCTTATTACTGGGTTAGATCTAGGGAAAAAAAAAAATCTAAAACTTCATGAACTTCATCCACAGGCATGTAGGTTGATGATCACAAAAAGTGCAGAAAGAAGTAATAAAGAATTTTCATTTTTTAAGATGTAAAGAAGAACTTGTGAGAAATTAAACGTCCCCTTCTCTCCCCTGTCCTTTCAGCTATGCTAGTTTACCTAATAGAAGATATTATCTCTGCCTTCAAATCTGTTTCTACCCCTCCAGAAGCCGTGGATGATTTCCCAATGGCTTAATGGAAAGAAGCACCAAATATGAACTAAGGGATACCCTGCACCAAAGCAGG